GATCCATAACCAGTAAAAAAAGGACCACCCGTAACAGACATACCACCCCCTTCCCTTCCCGGGGCAATGTTTTATTTTCTCGATTTATTTTTAAAGTCGATAAAGTAGATCTGTCAAGCCAACACATACACTCTAAAGTACACTGTTATTTTTATTAATCAATAAATTCGCCAACCAACAGTAAAATAACAATAATATATAATGTTATTGAAAAAAAATTATATTGGAAAATCACGAAAATTTCATTGTTAAGATACTTAACAACCCCCCTTTTTTATTGTAAATTTTCCATTTACCATGAAATTTATTGTTTTGTACAACATAAATCAAGGTAAATTTATTGTAGACGTAACAATATAAATCATTGTTAAGACAATAATTTTCGTCTTATTGTTACATTGTTTTTTAATGTATTTTTGTTGTTATTTTTTTTCGGGTAGTCTAAACTCAGCAGTATAACTATGCGATAGAATTTGTTCTCAGCTAAAACCGAGGTGGTAGAAGGAAAAGAGCAAATTGTTGGCAAGCTACTTCACGAAGTAAAGCCGAAGATGATACACGTGTGTTAATGGGTTTTTTTTTGTTATGTCTTTTCTCGATTCAGATCAAGCTATGTCCTCATCCATGTATATTGCAACAAAGCAGGCAAGCAATATATCATTATCCTTCTACCGCTCAGAGCGAGTTTGTCATAGTAGTTGTAGCAAACGTTTTGTCTGTATCGTTGGTTGCTTTACGTGTTTGGATTCGCTGCTCATCGCTTTATTGTGTATTCAGATTTGAGCGTGCATTAGCGGAGCGGAGCAAAATTTGCGTTGGCATGAAAGAGACAACCAGTACTTTTCTCCCTTTCGTACCTACGCAAAATCTCGCCCCGCACGTGAAATATCGCTCAGGACGGAATCCACCTTTAATCGCAAGGTATCCCGAATAGAAATTTACATTAGCCCACAAGCAGAAATAAGCGCGAGTCTTTGACAACTCAACATCATTTGTTTGTAAACAAAGGTGCATCCTATATCTACACCCAAAAATATTTCGGTGTACGGCAGTGTAGCACCGGTGTAGCTACACCGCAAAAACGAAAACGACAATAGAAAATCAAAACAAACATTGTGTAGTACTAGAATTTCGACTAGAATGGGGTACATTAATCGATTTGCTTGGGACCAATAGGCTAGTCAAGTAGTGTGCCAATTTAAAATCGATAGTTTCGTATTGATTGTTGATACTATGGCCCTCGCCATGGCCATTCTCAGCGCAGTCGGTAAAGGCGCAGCTACGAAGCAAGAACATGCTGCAGGTGGCTGGGATTGATTTTCAGTCCGGTTTAGGAATTTTTCGGGTTGGAAAATTTCTCGACCTTCCTGGACATAGAGCATGATTATATCAACCGGTGAAAACTAACGATTTTAAATTGGATCACTAGTTGAATAGCCTATTGGTCCCAAGCAAATCAATCAGCGTACCCCATTTTAGTCGAAATTCTCGTACTACACTATGTTTGTTTTGATTTTCTATGAAAGTTTGACAGATAAAATGAGGGGTTCGTGGATTTTCCTATATTTCGAAGGGTGCATCGATTAGCTTGGGACCGAAGATAGTACCAGAGCTGAGTCAAAAAGTTGAGCACGTTTCTTCGTGACCATCTGCACTAATAAAATTCCACACATTTTTATTGACGAATTTCCATGTCAAATTCCACATGAATTTCATGTGACCACACATAAACAGAATCCACCCTGAAGCACACATGAAATTTATGAGTCAAATAAATAGTATGTGTGGTTACACATGGCTTTTATGTGTACACATATTAAGTATGTGTCCGACACATAGATATCATTTGTTGATCACATTGCAAAAATTCAAGTGTGAGACACATAAAAACAATCTTTAAAATGTTATTAGTGTGGTCTTAGAGTTACCTCTATGATTATACCATAGAGGTAACTCTAAGACTAGTAGGTCCCGAAGAAACGTGCTCAACTTTTTGGCTCTGATGATATTAAAACTGGTCAAAAGATTTCTGAAATTTCTTAAAATTCTCTAGGCTGCTCTGAACTTCTCAGTATTTTTTATAAGATCTCGCAATTTTACTGAAATTAATTGAATGGCCTGAAATTAATTGAATAAACTTTACAAACGCTCACGGAACTAATTTTACCTGAATTTATCTGGACATCCCTGAAGTGTTCTATGCTTATCTGAAGTTCTCTAAATTTCTTTAATTTTTCGGAAAATTTTCCCTTAATTTCCTCACGCTTCTGAATTTTTCGAATCAATCATAGAATTCTCGGAATAATCAATAATTCTACGGAACTCCTTGTAAGTCGCTGCTAATTACATTTAGTTAATTTGATTGTTCTGAAGATATTTGATCGTGCTCGGACTTCGCTGAATATCATGAAACTATCTAAAAATATTTAAATTTCCTAGAACTTCTTCTTCTTCTTCGCATTTCAAGCTTATTGCATATCGCATATTAGCTTATTGCGTGCTCTCAACTTAGTGTTCTAGATTCACTTCCACAGTTATTAATTGAGAGCTTTCGATTCCTGTACCATTTTTGCATTGGTATAATCACGGTATAATTGTGTGGCAAGTCCAATCATACTTCTATGCCCAGGGAAGTCGAGAAATTTTCCAATCCGAAAAATTCCTAGACCGAACCGGGAATAGAACCCAGCCACCTCCAGCATGGCCTTGCTTTGTAGCTGCGCCTTTACCGACTGAGCTAAGGGAGGCCCTAGAAGTTCTTTGGAATAATAAGAAAATACTGGTGCTTGCTAAAAGTTGTCGCATTTTTTTAAATTTATGGAACTTCCTTAATATTCTCTAATCAACTTAGCTAAATTTTGACATTTTTAAGTTTAAAGTTTAAGTTAAGTTTAAGTTTACGAATTTCATAGCGCCTCATATCAACTGCAAAAACCCTGTTCCGTATACGTTGCGGAACTAGCAGCCATATTTTACGCAGTAGAGCAAATTGCCTCACTACCATCTGATCACTATTTTATTTTTACTGATAGCCTTAGCTCGTTGGAGACTATTCGATCAATGAGGCCGATGAAGCACTCCTCGTATTTCCTGACCGAAATCCGAGCTAAATTGAGTACTTTATCTAACTGCTCTTATACTATCACCTTAGTTTGGGTCCCATCTCATTGCTCAATTCCGGGTAATGAGAAAGCGGACTCGCTAGCTAAGGTGGATAGCGCCCAAGGCGATATTTTTGAGCGACAAATCGCCTTTGCGGAATTTTTTTCAATAACCCGTCAGCACGTCCTCACCAACTGGCAACAAAAATGGAATGAGAGTGATCTGGGAAGATGGTTACATTCTATTTTCCCACAGGTGTCGAACAAGCCATGGTTCAAAGGATGGGACATGAGCCGTGACTTTATACGTGTCATATCAAGGGTCATGTCCAATCACTACTCGTTAGACTCGCATTTCTTCCGAATCGGGCTCGCAGGCAGCAATTTGTGCGCTTGTGGTAGTGGCTATCACGATATCGACCACGTGCTTTGGTCATGCACCCTACATTGTGTTGCTAGATCCGAGTTATCCGCATCCCTCAGGGCCCGAGGAAAACAACCTATGCGGCCCGTTAGAGACATCTTGGCGAGCCGAGATCTCGAATATTTTAATTTAATTTATGTGTTTTTAAAACGGATCGATCTGAGGATTTAGTAGTTAGTGTCATCTTGTGTTCTCTCAAGTTGCTAGGTCTCCATCGGTGTACCCCCATGTTTGTCTTTTTCTCCAGTATGTCGCTTAGTTCTAGATCAAGAGCACATTGCTCTAAAAAACCTTGTGTTCTCAATCCCTACCCTGCCACCCGTTTGTTACAATTTGTTACCCCTAACCTCGAGAAAGCCGCGAGTAATCGGCCCCCGCTTTACTAACGTTAGTTTTAAGTAATTTTGTACCCAAACGATGAATATCGGCTCCGCAAAGCTACGGCAAATGAGCCTGGAAAAATAAACACATTAAAAAAAAAGTTTAAGTTTTGGTATTCTCGGAGCTGAAACTCTCTTGTCAAGCACTTTGTCAAGCAGTTTTGGCGGAACATTCTACCAGCAATTTCTCAAAACTGGACCAACAAATTACTATTTTTTAATGAAACGTTCAAATCTTAGCTACTTTTCTCGTGGATGTGGATGATAAAATCTCAAAATATTGTTTTATTTCGAAGTTCATTTTAACTGCTCGAATAAAGTGATTAGTCATTTTAACTGCTCGAATGAAGTGATTAATTCTATTGAAGATCTCGGTTTTGCTTTGAAATAAATGGAATCCTCGTAAACACCTTTAAACTTGTCTAACATTTTTTTTGGACTTCTGCGAAGTTCCTGAAATATTTCCGAAGTTCTCATAAATTCTCTGAAGGTCTCTGTATACTTCCCTGAATTGTTTGGAACATCATTAAATTTCATCAAAGCACATCATGGAACTATCCTGAATTTTTCTAAACTCACACTTATAGATCTTAAAACTGCTCCAAAAGTTTGTAGTACAGTTACGGAAACTGCCCTTGAGATCCATGAAATTTTGCCAAAAATCTCTGGATCTAGCTTTTCAGAGGTACTTAGAACTTCTTAAAACTTTCCACAATTTTTCTCAAGTTCTCTTGACCGCGGTGAAGTTCTAGGAACTTCTTAAAAGTTCAAATTGTTCAAAAATTAGAACAAAATTTAGTCATCGATTGGATTATCATATCCACGCAGAATGATAGATCTTGAAATAAATTCACGCCAAAAAAGTTTTTCTTCTTCTTTTTTCTTTACTATAGAGATTTTAAGCCATATGGCTAGTTCATCTCTTCCACGCTAAAAAAGTTGAAAATAGTGACTAATTACAAGAAAGAGTAAAAACCCTGTTTTGGATGATGAGATTAGGTCCCCTCCAAACGCGAAGCGGAAGGTTTCCGCCAATAGTATTGAAAGTTTTTGAAACTAAACACTGACCCAGAGCATACATTTTACCTTTTGCAGCTGGAACTATTAGCGCAGGTGCTGTGCATCGTCATAATGGTGCTTCTGAACGCTTGTGTCTGGCGATTCTTCGTCAAAGCCCTTCACACCAACGGTGGCACGCTGGTGGCGTCCTTGGTCAGTGCAGCTACGAACTACACCGTTTCGGTAAGTCACACTCATTTTCTAATAATTTCGTAATGCGTTTCAACGTTGACTTGTTGCAAAAAGGCACTCCTCGGGTGGCTAATATTCAATGAGAAAACTTCCTGCCTTTGGTGGATCGGAACGGCTCTGGTTCTGGGCGGTCTTTTGCTCATAGTGAGCGACGATGAAAGCGCAGCTCCGGACAAGGTGAAAAAGAAAGAATAAAACGCTGGTTGATAAAAAATAATCATATCAAAAATATATTCTTCGAAAGCCAAACTTTCTTTACAACCTAATGCAATAGCAATTTCACATGTTTTCTGAAAGTCTGCAACCAAATCACACAGATTGTAATAGGTAATTGGAGCATAATAAATAGCTGCTCATAGCGTGCTCCGGAGGGCAGTTTTCGTTCGGCTGATGGTGGCCGCAATGGGATTGATGATAACGTACAACGTAACGGCAATGATTCCGATCAGTAGTGCCAGTCGAACCTGTGCGTTGTTATCCTCCTGGAACCAGGCGGAGTATACTCCGAGGGCAATGGTTGCCGATGCTAAAATGTAGGTCACCGTTCCGGCAATTGCGTGCAGGATTTTGGAATAGATCGGTCGCATAAGGTGGCGCAGCTGGAAGCCATATTTGGCGAAAATACCTCCGCCGATAGACGTCAGCGTGAGGATGACCGTTGTGAAACCGAAAAGAGCGTGAGTCGTTTGCAAGTGTGCCTTTCCCATGCGTACTTTGTTGAGGAAGATGCACACGGAGGCGATCGATATGAGAATGCCCGCCAGTGCCTGCAGAACCCAGTGGATGAAGATTCGAGTTTTCTGGTGCTGTTTGTACGTCAGCAGATTCGCTCCGGACAGTGTAAGTACGGCCTGTGACATCAAGATGAAGTACTGTGAATGGGAAAGAAAACTCTTATAGCGATAAGAAGAACCAATTGACATTAAAGGTACCAGAAAAATCGGAAGAATTACAGTAATGACCCAATTTTGTCAGCCGTTCCGCGCATCGGACTTTTATTTTCTAATAACCGTGTTTCCAAATCTTTCTCTTTCGTAGAACATAAGAAAAGATTTTCAAAAGGGGGCTGACAACAACGGACCATTATTGTATTATAACTCATGTTTAAAAGAAGGAAAATTCTCCTAGTTATTAAATTCATATTTCGCATTCATCATTGCAAGTCAGAGGCTCACAAGTTTACCAAATTTCGGAATGTACAGGATAACACGAAGGAACTGCTCAAGTTAAAAAAAAAGTAAATACTCCTGGAACTTGGTATTAAATTCAGATTTCATATTCATCTTTCCAATCCAGAAACTCACAAGTTTTTTAAACACAGAATTTCTACAGGAAAATTATAAAAAAAAACTGCTCATGTTTAAAAGCAGAAAAGTTCTCCTAGATCATCAATAAGAACAAAATAAGAATCATTCAGTCATCTAATGGCCTTATGGACCTCCGTGAAATGTTGTACAACCCCACTCAGGCTAAACAAAACCCCCCAACGCACACACTCACTACATACAGCAGATGTTCCGCTCATACTCACCCCGATGCTCATCAAAGTCGGATGCCACGAAAACAGCACGGTAGCTTTGTAGAAGCAATGGTAAGTGATAAAACCGGCTATGGCAAACATTAGAAAGTTGGCCAACAAGTTCACCAGAAGCAGCTTCTTGCTCAACATTCTGACCGTGGATTGGTGTGCCGCCGCCGTTGTCGTTGTTATCTTGCCCTGCACCTGTTGCTTGTCCATATGTTGTGTCGAGTCTCTCCGAGCACCGTCACCGAAACCATCTGCTGCCGAAATGATTTCATCCGCTTCTACCTCATCCATCGCCGGCTCACTGATATGGTCACTATCACTCGTGCCGTTGTTGCGATAAGAAGGCTTTTTATTCTCACTGACTTGATCTGGGCCCTGTCCGAGCGGAGGAGGAGCAGTAGTTGAAGAATGATTGCGATCGCGACGACGATCGCCACTTTCTGTCGAATCAGCTGTGCGTGTGTTGGAGAGGAGAAACGGTGAAAACGTAAACAAAAATGACATCAAAGTTGACGTTTGTTTCGTATATCGATCAAACCGAAAGCAGGGTTGCATTTGATGTGATCGATGTGAATTTCAAATTCACATATCGAAGATCACAAACGAATTAAATGATTAATCCAAGGATTAATCACATCATAAAAATTGTTAAACAGGGATGCAATAAAACATACTGGAATTATTATCCAAAATCCTGATGTAAGGCACTATGGAATCACTTTCGTTTTCTTCGTTCTGCATCGCAGTAATTGTTGTCGCTTCTTGAGGTGAGATGAAACTGAATTCAACTATTTCATACACTTATGCCACCAAGTGTAATAATAGCTCCTGTCGTTCATTCTCGTTATCTAGGTACTGCTTTTCGTGCGTTTGTATTATCAATTAAAGTTCAAGTATGCTTGAAACAACTCTTGAGAACTCGGTGTGGTGACGACCAAACGGTAAATATTTAATTGTTTATTTAAATAGTGATATTCATCTTAGGTGTAATTGGAGTCCGATGGATGCAATGCCTTTAACGAATTTTTCTTCAATACTCGTCAGCAACAGGCAACAGGCATGGAATAGTAATGGTTTGGGAAGATAGCTCGGAAGATAGTTACATTCTATTCCTCACCGGTGTCGTACAAACTGTGGGTTCAATGGGTTGAACATGTGCCACGACTTTATATGCGTTATGTCCAGGCTCACGTACATACAATACGTTATGGCCGTTATGACTTATAATTCTGTAGTCTGAACAAGGCTTTATGTGAGGCATTATGCTATGTTCGCACTACAGACTTATGACATGTTACAAGGCTTTCTTGATAATTTTTTTGTCCCGAAGAAACGTGCTCAACTTTTTGGCTCAGCTCTGGTACTCTTTTCGGTAACATAATTATGTTATATTATTATTGTCGTTACAGCTGAAAACTGAAAAAAATGGTGGGGTTGTGTACAAGACACGATCGCATGGTTGACGTAGACTACACACTTATAGCGAATTCGTTTATTATTCAGTTCCAACCTGGATCGGGTATCAGGATTGGGTCTGCTTGTTTTCTGACAAACGTCAGTTTGCTCGTTTGTTTTTAAAACCTAGCTCAGGTTGAGGTTCGCACTGACAAAAAGTTCGGTTTCGCACTGGGTTGGAACTGGTTCCAACCCCGATAATAAACGAATTCGCTATTAGAAAATAATACCGAACTCGGTTTAATTTTCTACCGAACCTCTTCGGTTACCAACAAAAAACCGAATAAATTGTTTAAAAACATTTTTTTCAGGCGTATTTATCGAATCAGACCCGAATTTCGGTAAAATAGTATACATTTGATAGATCGAAATGAAGACTGAACCGAAAAGTACGGTAAAGTATCGACATTTATGAATTAGGTACGTGAAAACTAAGAAACTCGGTAAACTGAACCGAATATTCGCTAAAACGCGTTAAACGTCAAACGCTCAAACGTCAAACGTTCTACTTGCGCTCAAGTTCACGACGGAAATTTTAACCGAAAACTCGGTTCTCGAAGCTGAGTCTAAAACTAGTCAGCCATTTGTTCTCGCGTGTGCTCGTTTTGACTGTACTTTTCCACGTTGTAACTCGCGTTACGAAAGTTTTTATTCGCTGAAACGGCACATTGTGGAAAAGCATCCGGGAAACTTTCGAAGTTCTACCATAGAGGTAACTCTAAGACCACTGGGTCCCGAAGAAAATCATTATTATTTTTGGCTCACTCAGTACCAGAACAACGGTCCCAAGCAGTCCCAAGCTATTTCACTCACCCCTGCATGTTCTGCATGAATCCACACACCCCTGATGTTATCTGTCAAACTTTCATAGCGAATCAAAACAAACATAGTGCAGTAATAGAATTTCAACTAGAATAGGGTACGTTAATCGTTTGCTTGGGACCAATAGGCTACTAAAGTGGTGAGCCAATTTAAAATCGTTAGTTTCGTATTGATTGTTGGTTCTACCGTGGAAGAAATGTTTGATGATTGTCCTGTGGCAGAACAAGCAACATATGCTGATTTACAGAACAGTCCTAAACTGGAATCAAGTATAGATTTAGAAGAGTTAATAAAAATAATAAATCAGTGCCAACATTTCAAAGGGGCGTAATTGCATTTGTAAACAATGACTTTCGTCTTCGATTTCTCGCAAATGAAAGCTCACTCATGAAAATGAATGACACCAGCAGGTAGAGGAATGTTTCCTGTACCAGCTAGCATTAGTAATTTGGAGGGGTTGGCTTTTATTTGCGAGAAATCGACTAATAAAGCCATTGTTTACAAAAGCAATTACGCCCCTTTGAAATGTTGACACTGAAATATTAGCATCTGCCGCATTACAAATTTATGTCGTTTTCGTTTTTACGGTGTAGCACCGGTGTAGTGTAAGCAGGAATAAACGCGAGTCTTTGACAGCTCAACAAAATTTGTTTGTAAACAAAGATGCATCCTATATCTACACCCTAAATTATTTCGGTGTACGGAAGTGTAGCACCGTTGTAGCTACACCGCAAAAACGAAAACGATATTAGTATTTTTTTTATTTAATCAATAGATTAAAGATGTACCGAGAATTAAATGGAGGGATTTCAAACTAAAATGTTCTGATCGCGATATATTGACGATCAATACCGAATTTCCAATTTCCGCCTAAATTTCCAATTCGTTTTGTGTATAGTCGCTATATTCATAGTCTGGCGGATAGAATTACGATCTATCAAAAAGCGGAACCAATTCAATATATTGTAGACCAACAATTGAAAAGGTCCTATCAGACTCATTATTTCTATATAACGATGCTCGGCATGAGACTGAGGTAACTAATAATAACAATGACCATACTTTATCAACCGACGTATTTCCGACAATTTCTTCACACAGACAGAATGCGACTGAAATTTTGATTTATTGTCAAAATTTCAATCGCATGAAAAGCCCAGCTAAAATGAAGGAAATTTATCAACATTTATTATGCTCATCCTTTTCGGTCATTCTGGCAACTGAAACAAGCTGGGACGAAAGCGTAAAAAGTGAAGAAATCTTTGGAAATGCCTTTAATGTATTCAGAGACGACAGAAATTTTCATGCAACACAGAAGAAGTCAGGTGGTGGAGTTCTTATAGCTCTTTCGGCCAATTTTAACTCAGAAATTATCTTTACACCAAAATTTACAGAATTTGAGCATATTTGGGTGAAATCACACATAGCCGGTGAAACGCACGTGTTCGCCTCAGTGTATTTTCCACCAGACCATGCTCATAAAAGCACTTATGAAGCCTTCTTCCAAAGTGCTGAACAAATTCTATCTGAGCTTCCTCCTGAGGTTAAAGTTCACATCTATGGAGACTTTAATCAACGCCATGCTGACTTCATTCTGGACTCTGAAAATGAATGTATCTTACTCCCAGTCGTTGGGGATAATGAAACATTGCAGTTCATTTTTGACAAAACTGCTAATTTAGGACTGAACCAAATTAACCACATCAAAAACCAACAAAATTGCTATTTGGACTTTTTACTAACGAATATTTATGAAGATTTCTGTGTGACCGAATCATTAAATCCACTGTGGAAAAATGAAGCGTTTCACACAGCAATCGAATATTCTTTATTTATGCATGAAAACCAAAGACCCAACGACTGCGAATACGAAGAAGTCTTTGAATACAAATTAGCAGACTACGAAAAAATAAAATTTAAATTAAACAGTGTCAATTGGCAATTAATTTTAAGGAATGTAGGAAATGTCGAAATTGGTATAGACGTGTTCTACAAAATTTTAACAGAAATAATTTCGGAAGAAATACCTTTGAAGAAAAAAAGACGTAACAGAAACACACAAAATCCAGTCTGGTTTAACAGACAAATAAAAAACTTGAAAAATCGGAAGCAAAAAGCACATAAAATTTATAAAAAACACAATAGTAGTAATAATTTATTAATTTATTTGGATCTATGCGATCAACTGAATTTAGCTATCAGTACTGCATTTGAAGAATATAATGCAAAAACTGAACGTGAAATAAAGTCCTGTCCGAAGAACTTCTTTAATTACGTAAAAACGAAATTAAAATCTGACAATTTTCCTTCAATAATGCATCTAGACGAAAATGTCGGTGATAGTTCGGAAAAAAACTGTAATCTATTCGCAAAATTTTTTCAAGAAATTTATACATTTTCTGAAGAAGATCGTGACCGCGATTATTTTGCATTTTATCCAGAATTTTCAAGGGACATTGGCCTCAATCAACTTCAAGTGCAGGACATTTTGCAGGCTTTAAAAAATTTAGATGCCTCAAAAGGTCCTGGACCTGACGGAATTCCTCCAGTATTTATTAAATGTCTAGCAATGGAACTCACTGCTCCATTGTTTTGGCTTTTTAATATGTCCCTGGAATCCGGAACCTTCCCCAAATCAAAAATAGAATTACTGACATGCAACACGGCTTTTTCAAGGGTCGTTCGACCTCGACCAACTTACTTGAATTTATAGACTATTCATTGAATGCAATGGATAATGGAAACCACGTAGAAGCTCTCTATACAGACTTTAGCAAGGCATTTGACCGCATTGACATACCAATGTTACTCTTTAAACTGCAAAAAATTGGAATTAAGTCAGGGCTCCTGAAATGGCTTGAATCATATTTAACTAACCGCCAACAAATAATTAAATTCAACGGAAAGAAATCGAGCCCAATTCAAGTCACTTCAGGCGTCCCCCAAGGCTCTCATTTGGGACCTCTTCTTTTTATTCTATACGTAAACGACATATCTTACATTCTCAAAAAACTTAAATTGCTTATTTATGCCGACGACATGAAGCTCTTTTTGGAAATAAGAAATGAAGAAGACATCAATATATTCCGGAATGAAATACACATATTCTACATATGGTGCAACAAAAGTCTACTAGAATTGAATGTAAAAAAATGTAACTTAATATCATTTAGTAGAAAAAGAACAACTTCAAACATTTCAATTGCATTAGGAAATCAAACTGTAGACAAATGTGAAAGAGTTAGGGATTTAGGAATTATCTTAGACTCTAAGCTAACTTTCATAGACCATTACAATACAATTATTCACAGGGCAAATAACATGCTAGGCTTTATCAAGCGCTTTTGCTATAACTTTCAGGACCCTTACACAATTAAAACACTATATATTGCCTATGTGAGGTCAATACTGGAATATTGCAGCATTGTATCAACAATCAATACGAAACTAACGATTTTAAATTGGCTCACCACTTTAGTAGCCTATTGGTCCCAAGCAAACGATTA